TCCATTCAGGCGTAGGAGGTCAATACCAATCAGATATCTACAAGGCAATAAAAAGGCCACAAAGCAATGAAAACAAGTGGATAGCTACAAGGCAATAAAAAGGTCACAGAACACTAAAAACAGTAACTAGGTAACATTATACTCGTAACTAGGTAACATTATACTCATATCTAGATAATATTATACTTGTAACTAGGTAACATTATACTCATATCTAGATAACATTATAACGCAACTGGATAACACTCTTATAAGAGTACTACCTTTACTATAGCATATTTTATAAGAGCTCAAGAAAGTGAGGCTAGCTTTTTGGAAAGAGATCACTTATTAAAATATTTATTGAAAAAATTGTTACTACAATTAGATATAAGGATAACATACTAAAGGAATCCTTTGATAGCATCGCTGATAAATTATATCAAATTTGGGTAAAAACAAAACAGTTTTAATCGTGGAAAATTGAAAGTGTTAGCAGTACCGATTCAATTATAAACAGCAATTGTAGTGATACCTCAGAAAATATGGAAAGAGATCAAAATGATACTATCATAGTACCTTTTCAGAGAAGTAATGAAAGCTCCCCAGGGATGACACTTCTAGTAGCAATGTATGGATCATCATCAGGAACTACCACACCCACACCTCAACCACCATCTAATATACCATCTTATGTATAACTACGACAACCATACTTGAGAGATAGGAGGCAATATGATGAAGAAGAAAATAACATATATGCCCCTGATTATGAACAAAATATCCTATTTGGATATATCAATTATGATGACGAAACATTATAAGGAACGTCCTTTTTTGACAATGTAAATGAATTAAAGAGAGGAGTAACCCCAAGTAGAATACCTCAAAGAGTTACATTTAATACCAGTAATGATAGAAGGTCTCCATCTTCTGTTAGGTAGAAAATGTTCAACAATTAGTAGCCTCAACATTATCCAATAATCAATCATCAAAGCCATCAAATTTAAGGGTAACAACTCCATCAGTAGGAAATATAAATAGTGGATCATCATTGGGAAATCCTTACAATTTTTTCCAAACAACTTAATATAGTTGTATATTTGACCTCTTGGCATCACTTAATCCTCTCTGAAATAGCAACCTATCTACAACCTCTAGTTTCACAACTGCAAATTGGCAACTAGTAAATAACCATTAGCTTGAAAGTAACTTAAGTAACAGAAGAAATAATACAATGAGACATCAAAATGAAACTACCAAAGGAACCCCATAGTCAACAACAGTAGCCCAACCATATAATATACGATCACCATTAAACTTCTGAGGGGGTAGTTCTCGATCAACTAGCACAACAACTTCTCAGTCAGTACCTAGCAGTCAACCGTCAAATAATATAAACACCTCTCAGCCAATACTTACACCTCAACCAGCTATAGTACCAATAGGAGGAAACAATAACAATGCCTACCTTTAAGTCATATAAGGGCTAGCAGGATGGCTTTAAGGATAACAAACAAGAGAACAACGATTAGTAGATTTACCAACATTTAGAGGAGGAAATCAGAATTTAGTGGAGTGGTTTGAGGTTTTCAAACGAGCTTATAAAGTAAACTGTATCAATACCACTCAAATGGTTGAAATAGTCTCCAGTTATTTAACAGGAACAGCATTGACATGGTTTCAACGACAATATGTTACCAACTGGAATAGTAAAATCAATCCTGGTACTTCCTTCGTACCATTATTTGAACAACATTTCTGCAATGCATTCTGACAAAATCAATGGAAGCATCAACTTAGGCATAGAACACAAAAACCAGGTAAAACGATTGAGGAATATGCGGCAGCAATAGAAGAACTATAGAAGCAAGTCGACTCACGATATAGGCGAGCTGAGATGGATAGAGTTGCTAAACTTATTGAAGGACTACGACTAGAATTTATGATACTAGTACAAACAGCAATACCAACAACAGTAGATTAAGCAATCAAAAAGGCCAGAGCAGTAGAATATGCATATTCTATTGGAATGGAATTATCTGCCTATTCATTGATGTCTAATTACATGCAACTATTACAAGAAGGAATGGTATCAGCTTGCACAAGTATAGCAATGCAACCTACATATTACACAACAACCAGATATTGAGAACACTATTAATCGCAAACTAAATAAAGGATTACAAGCGATTATGGCAAACATTGGGTAATAGCAGCAACAACAACAACAGCAGCAGCAACAGCCACAATAACAGCCACACGAATGATTTAATTGTGAAAAATTTGGACACTTGTCTAGAGATTGTAGAAGTAATCGATATATGAATAATGACCAATCAAATATTGAATGCTTTAACTATGGGAAGTATGGCTATTTCGCCAGAGATTGTAGGAGTACAAACAATAATAGAGGTCAAACTTTCAAAATCATAATGATAACAATAGAAATCATAACTGTAGTAATAGCAGGAATAGGAATTATAGAAATAATAATAAAAATAATAACTACAATAATAACAGTAATAATAATAATAATAACTAATAGCATTTAAACTAGAAGTCGCACCTCTTAGGGGTGAGTGTGCGAACAAACCAAAGCTCCTAAAAGCGAAAGAAGAGGAAGAAGCAAAAGAGAATAGTCAAGGTGAAGCAAAAATAAAAGCAAGTTTAATAGAAGTACCTTATGTATGTAGAGGAATGAATTTGAAAATGCGATTCAGAGGACTATATGAAAACAAATATGATCACTCTAGTTGTGGAGAATATGACCACCATAGTCATATTGTATGCACAAATTGTAATAAAATTGCTAAAGGAATAGTAGCACGATGTTAATGTAAGGAAGTAAAATAGAAGGATCCACTAACTAATGAAAGGATTTTCAGTAAAAATCAGCTAATTAAACTAGTAGATCTCCAACAACAAGGAGAAGTCACTGTTAAAAAGAGGCTGAAGTATGTGTTAGGGATCTTATATAATGATAAAGGAATCTATCTTTCAAAACGAATTGATCCAAATAAGGAAATGTATAACTTATGACAAACAGTCAGTGGGAAAGTTGAATTAGAAGAATCATCAGTAAGAACTATGATTTGAGAAATTGATGAAGAAACTGGAATACAATTGGATGAAGATCATTTAGAATACATTTTAAATGATCCTACATATAATTATGACGTATACAAAGTAAAGCTAAACAAAGAAGTACCTTAATATACTGAACCTACTAAACATAGCGATTAGCAACATTTTGAGTTTGATGAATATTTACAAATGGTTGGACTAAATGAACTAACACCAACACATAATAAATATGAAGAACTTTTCATATCTAAATTAAAGGAACACATTATTACTAGTAATACGGCATATGATGAACCTATCAAGGATGCATTTTTTATTGAAACCCAAGTGGAAGAATACCCTGTAAATGCTCTAGTAGATACTGGATCTGTAGGAAGTATTGTTACTCAGTGGTATCTTAGGCAAATCAATAAGGAAATTGATGAACCTACAAAAACAAAAATCATGGGAGTGGATGGAAAAACTATGATGCCTTTAGGAATAATTAAAGGAGTTACAGTAGAAGTTAATGAAATAACTGTTAACGAAGATATGCTAGTAACTAATGCTATGGGATATAATATTATCTTAGGAAACACTTGGTTGCAAAAAGTTCATGCAATTATTGACTATGATACTGGCATTCTAGTCATACAACAAGATGATCAAACTTCTATGACGCCTATAACTTATACGCAGGACATATATCTAGAAAGGTTTACACCAATCAAGCTTAAAATAACAGTAGATGAATTAGAATTTGAAGAGAAGGAAGATATCGATATTCAACAATGTTTTGCTATTGTTCCTAAAGAAAAAGAAGAAGTAATCCAAATAAATGGAAAGGAATATCCTGAAATATACTTATAACAAATTGAATACGAAATGGATGTACAACAAAATAGAAATTGGATGGGATCGACTACATGTTGGTGTTTGAAAAATTTGGAAAATGAAGGCCAATGTGATGACTGTAGAGAAATTGTAAGGACAGTATAAACTTATCAATACTATAGGAATAGTATAGATCTACAAGCTGCTTATAAAGTTCAGATCGAAGAGAATGATATTTGAGTAGAAATTGGTAATGATTCAGGAAAATATACAACTTGTGAAAAATTAACAGATGCTTCTTTAAAATAACTAAAAGCATTTCTTGAGAAAAATCTTAATAGTTTTACGATCACAACATAGAAACTAACACATTCAGAATAACATGAACATTATATATTTACTAAAGATATATCACCAGTTGCACTAAAACTATATCAAACGTTAATAAAAGATGATCAGTATATTCAGCAGGAAATTCAAAATATATTAGATCAAGGAATTATACAACCTTTTCAAAGTCAATGAAGCTCACCTGTAATTCTTGTAAGGAAAAAGAATAGAAAAATGAGATTCTGCATAGACTATAGAAAATTGAATGATGTAACAATAAAGGACCAATATCCCTTATCAAGGATTGATGAATTATTAGAATCCTTGGGAGGAGCAATATGGTATACTACCTTAGACTTAGCTTCAGGATACTGGCAGTTTAAGGTCAGGGAACAGGACAAATCAAAACAGCATTTATTACGAAACATGGATTATATGAATTCAATGTAATATTATTTAGGTTGTGCAATGCATCAGCCACCTTTCAACGAGCTATGGATGATATATTACAAAAAATAAAAGAAAAATTTATACTAGTATACCTTGATGATATTATCATATTTCTAAAAGTTATGATGAACATTTGCAACATCTCCAACAGGTTTTCAATTTATTAAAAGAAGCTTAATTGAAAATAAATCCAGAAAAATGCCATTTCTACATAAACAAAATTCAATTTTTGGGACATGTAATATCAGGATAAGGGATACAACCTGATCCAGCAAAAATTGAAAAGATCGTTAACTTCAATACTCCATTCAATATTAAACAATTACGAACTGTATTAGGATTATTCTCTTATTACTGATGTTTTGTTAAAAATTATTCTAAATTGATAGCCCCATTGAACGATTTACTAAAAAAAGATGTACCTTACAATTGGACAAAACAACATCAAGAGATTTTTGAAATACTTAAAGAAAAATTGACGACTGCACCAATCTTATCCTATTCTGATTTCAATCAATCTTTTATTTTGAGCACTGATGCAAGTACTACAGGATTAGATGCAGTACTTCATAAAAAGACAATAAAGGAAAAGAACATCCTATTTGATATGCAAGTAGAACATTGAACCCAGCTAAAAAAAACTACCATATTACTGAACAAGAGGTTTTAGTAGTAGTATGAGCAGTTAAATATTTTAGGAGGTACCGTATTCTTCCGAAAATAAGCAACCTATTTTTACTATAGTATTGCTTATTTTCAGGTAGTTTAATTTAAAAAATTTTCTGACTTAATTTTTGTGATACTCTCGTAATCGCTGATCATTTATATGTTATGCGAATATACTTACGCGAAGTCGCAGAGTCTTTAAAACCAGTTTTCAAACCTGTATGCTAAGTGTAACAAATATGGCAAAAAGAAGAAAAGTTCGTAAGGTAAAAAAAATTGTCAAACGGAAACGCATCTCATACTCTATAGAACAAAAGATACAAGTTGTTAAGTATGCAAAAGAACGAGGAAATAATAATGCGGCAAAACATTTTAATATTGATTTTAGTATGGTAGGACGTTGGGTAACGGCAAACTTGAACTGGATTTTGAAACTAATGAAAAAAGCAAGCGACTCAGTTCTGGTCAAAAATCATTTTTTTCCGAGGCTGAAAAAAGACTTTATAGTTAGATCATTAGACAAAGGAAGCAAGGTTTAGCTGTGTCATATACAATTTTATGAAGTAAAATAGTGGAAATTCTAAAAGAAACGGATATGTTAGAACTTTATAGAGGTTTAGCAGAGAATTTCAAAATGTCTCAACGTTGGTTAATAGCATTTTTAAAAAGATATAGATTAGCATTGTGAAGACGTACAAGGATATCCCAAAAGCTCTCAAGTAACACTCAAGAACTATTGAATAAATTCTATAAATTTATTATTCATCTTAGGCTCAAAAAATCTTATGAATTAGGAAATATTTTTAATATGGATGAAACACCCGTTTGGTTTGACATAGCTGGCAACTTTACGATAAATCAAAAGGGTGAAAAAACAGTCCATATTCGTTTGACAGGTAATGAAAAAAATAGATTTACCATCATTTTAACATGTGCCGCAGGTATTCTTTTATTATTTTTTTATTTTTATTTATTTAATTTTTTTTATTTTAAAAATTTCTAAATTTATTAATTTATTATAAACGGAACTAAATTACCTCCCATTTGCATCTTTAAAGGAAAACAGATGCCACATGGGGAACAAATCCCTCCTGGTGTTATAGTTTGGTTCCAAAAAAAATGGCTGGATGG